TGCATTCCCAGTTCTCTCTTAAGGATCTTGGATCCATTAGTTACTTTCTTGGAATTCAAGCCATCCATAATTCTCAAGGGCTGTATCTCAGTCAAAGCAAATATATTGCTGATTTGATTGCCAAAGCTGGGATGAAGGGGGCAAAGGATGTCACTTCACCCATGGTTTCAACTCCATCTTTGTCAAAATATTCAGGACAACCAATGGAGAACCCCACTCTCTACAGACAAGTTGTAGGTGCTTTGCAATATGTTACACTTACAAGACCAGACATAAGCTTTTCAGTCAACAAAGTCAGTCAGTTCATGCAGAATCCTCTTGAAACTCATTGGAAAGCAGTGAAAAGAATAATTAGATACTTGAGTGGAACCATTGATCAAGGTCTACAGATTTCTGAATGCAGCAGCTTCAAGATAACAGCTTACACAGATGCAGACTGGGCCTCAGATGTAGATGACAGAAGATCAACCTCTGGTTTATGTGTGTTTCTTGGAGGAAATCTTGTCTCTTGGAGATCTAAAAAGCAACCTACAGTTTCTAGATCCTCTACAGAGGCTGAATACAGAAGTCTGGCCCTAGGAATTTGTGAAATCATGTGGACAAAATCTCTTTTGCATGAACTTAGGATGAATGATGAAGGTGCAGCTGTTATATGGGTTGATAATCAAGGTGCAGTTTCTCTAGCAGCAAACCCCATTAACCATGCAAGGACAAAGCACTTTGAGCTGGATTTACATTTCATCAGGGACAAGGTAAAAGAAGGACTTGTTGCTGTTAGACATGCCCCAGCTCTTGATCAAATTGCAGATATAATGACCAAGCCACTCAATGGACAATTCTATGTGAAGCTTAGGAACAAGTTGAGAATCATTCCTAGAGCTTCCATAGAATTGATGGGGCATGTTAGCAAGATTAAATTAAGCAATGAAGGATTAGTTGATAATGATCAGCATGAGGACGTGGAAACCCGTACATGCAGCAACAAGAAATAGTACATGCACATGCGTCCCCAGCAGGAATTTGTTAGAGAAGTTTTGTCTTATTGCACTAGCCAATTATCATACAACAAGTGTCCTAGGATCTAGAATATTCAGTCATTGTTTTATATATTATAGGTTTGGGAAATTATGTAATCATTATAAAAAGCATTTTTTGATATCAACAGAATGACACACCTTGAGCATGCTCTCTTCTCGTTTTCCTTTTTCTATATTTTACTGCAACTTTAACAAAGTTGAGTCGTATTAACAAGCTTTCACTAGTTAGCATCATTCGTATGGTCCAGATTGTTTGGAACATTATAATACCATTCATCCATTTGCTGTTTAATTTAAGTGAACTGCTAAATCTGTTTTCTTTCTTCTACCTACTGATCTTCCTTGGACCGTTTTGCCCCTAGTATTGTTTTGCTCTTAAAAACAATATACGATGGCCGGTCGAATCCTTAACTGCCGCCGAGCGCGGACGCAATCGCTAGCCAGCTGACGGCGCTTCGGCCGATATTGCCGGCCATTTTTTTTTTAAATCAAATTTTTATTTGAATTATGTTAAAATTTAGAAATTATTGTGTAATAAATTATAAAATTTACTATTGTTATGTTACAACTTAGGAATTATTACGTTATAAACTAGAATTTATATTACAAAATTTGTTATTATTATGATAGAACTTAAAAATTATTATGTTATTATAATATTTTTTAATTTATATCAAATAACTACTTAGTTAGTTTAAATAATTTTATTTTTTCAAATTAATATTAACATATAATTTAATTTTATTATAAAGATAAAAAAATTATTTATTTAATTTGTACAAGATAATAAATTCTAACATTATATTCGTCCTTGCGGGCCAGGTGGATAGGTGTCTTGCTCGGGCTGCGTGGTTTCTTCGGACTTGGATGGAGTGGCTGAGCCCTGAGGTCATTCGTCCCCTTCCTCCTTCTGCTCGTTTTATGAGTTTGTGGGAGGCCGTCTGTTCCCGGAGTTGGCTAGTGGTGTTAGGCAAATTTGGGTCGGTGTCGGATTGGCTAGTGGTGTTAGCGGGTTAGGGGGGCGATTGTGATTTCTTGCGGTCGGTGCGCGGGTCGGCTTCTTTTGGTTTGTTCGGAGGCTAGGGTCTTCGTCTTGCTAGGCCTTCTGCAGTGGCGGGCGTGGTTCCAGAGTTTC